CACAAAGGCATGTCTACATACAGTTGCCTGGGATTCGGTCATACGCTTTCTCTAGGTCCACAAAACACATGTACACCGGATGGGCGTACTCCTATGATTTCTCAGCAATCTGGCGCAGGGCAAACATATGGTCAGAAGTGCTTTGACATGGAAGGAATCCACAGTGCTCTTTTTGTATCCTGAGGTCAGCTATTTCGCGGCACCTCCTTTCCAGCACGTTTGCGTAGACTTTACCTGAGAGGCTCAATAAGGCAATGCCACGATAATTGAAGCACTGCCTTTTGTCTCCCTTCTTGAACAGCAGTAAAATAACTCCCGTTCTCCAGTCCGCTGGTGTTTTTCCCGCATTCATCGCAGTTTGACAGACACGGTTAGCCAGGACATGCCTTGTTCGCCTAATGCTTTAAGCACCTCAGGGTAGATTTCGTCAATTCCAGCAGCTTTTCCATTTTTCAAGCTTTTCACAGCCTGTACAATTTCATCTACAGAGATAGTAATATCCGTACCCTTCTGCTCTACAGGCGAGTCTTCCTGCGGTTGCTCGGTGTTAAGGAGTTCTTGAAAGTACTACTTCTATCGCCAAAGAATGTCATCATCCTTAGTAAGACGGTGTCCAAACCTGTCCTTCAAGACTCTCAGACTACCCCACTTTTCAGCTTGGAGCCGGCGGAGAGCCTGCCAGAATACTTTGTGTGTCCTGTGGAAATTAGACTCCGAACTTCTTCCAGGAATCAGCCTTGGCTTTCGCGCAGTTTTCGCTGTCGCCTTGCGTGCCTCGATATACCGCATGCGCGTAGAAGGCTCTTTGTTTCCAAGCCACTTCTCTAATGCTGCCTTCTTTTAAACTGTCAGTTGTACCACTCATGTCCAAAAGGAAGATCTTTTCTGACCTCCAGGCGGCAGGCCAACCCATTTTAGTTCGCAGCATTCGGCGGCAGCCTCGAGTATGCCACTCTTAAAGAGCTGCCACTCGGTTTCCACATCAGTAGCCATTATCGGCTTCTGTTCAAAGCGTGGTGCGATGTTGTTTGCAAATTTCGCTCTCGTGTCCACCGAAGATAATCTTCCCGTTTGATTCTCTGGTTGCTTCTGCCACCAGATCTTCGCATGGTACTCCATTTCTTACAGCTCAGCGTGCTAACAACAAGGTAGTGATCGATTAATAGCTCTGCGCCTGTCTTTACTGGAAAATCTATTACTGAGCGTTTTGGGTCAGACGATACGATAATCAAATCGAACTGACTTCTGTGCACAAATTCCTCTGTACCAGGTATGCTCGATGCTGGAAGAAGGTGTTCATAATGGACAATCAGTCAGCGTCATCAGAACCTTATATCAGTTAAAACTAGGATAAGGACAAAGATGACAGTAGAACTTCTCATTAACGTAGAAAAAAACAGCAGTGGATTTCGTGAGCAAGAGTGAGACTGAATTGTGTCTAATTGGATCAGCATAAAGTACAGTATGTATAAACAGTTCGTTGATCATATTTACACTTTAAGATGATTTCACGGTATGCAAAGATATTGTTGAAATTGTCACATCATGTCCGCCTTAGAATGGATCAAGCTCGATCTGAAACGCCTGAATTTTGTGGAACAAAATACATAGGCGGAGTAAACCCTCAGAAGATTTTGAAGATTGTGATCACTATCTTTTATAGATTACAGCTGTATATGATATACGCCATTCCATTCTTACCAATAAGCCAGACTAACGCTGCCTCGACTGGAGTGGTTGTTTCGTCGATGTCGTTTCCATACAGGCAGAGGCCAGCCTCCAAACGTAAGGAGTCGCGGGCGCCGAGACCAGCCAATTTTACGTTGGCTGACGAAGAGCACAAGATTGCGTTGCACAGATCAGGTGCCTTGTCCGCATCCACAGAAATCTGCAAGTAGCCGTTGGTCAACAAGTTTTCAAGCGACGTGACAAAAAGGCTGGTACCTCAACCCCGTCCTCTCCTGTGTAGCCGCAACGAGTCACGCGGCAATCAGGTACCCCGAAGACGGAGCTTTTCACAGAATGCATGAACTTCAAGTCATTCATATTGAAATCGACGCCAGACTGAAGAACCTTCGCCATTTCTGGACCTGTAATAAACGTGGCTAACAAAGTATTACAAAACAGTTACACTAGACTGGCTAATTTTATATACAATGGATAAAACGCTATCGTCAACGGCCTGGCATTGTGGTGTATTTAATTGACAACGAACCAGGGTATCAAGCTGGAGAAACGGAGTCAAAATAAATAGCATTTCTGTCGTGATCTTGAGAAGTTCATGGAACCCTTGTAGAATCAAATAATTAAGTAATAAAGGAAGCAATAATTTTATGAATAAATTAATAAACCATGGTTTATTTATATGTAGTATCCGTTGAAGGAGTAGAAAATAGAAAGCAAATTAGCGAAAAATGAATGAAAAAAGGTATTCCAATTCAATTCACCAGTTTTATGCGAACATTCGTAGCAACGCGGCAGTCTCCTTATCTACGCGCTTCAGCGGCTAAAAAATGCGTCTTTTTTATACTAGATTCCTCTAAAGCAACGGGTAAAATTCGCGAAATACAAAACCTCATGAACTCCGCCATGGCCGGTCCCAAGCCCGGATGAGAAAGGAGGAGGGTTGGAGACCGTGGCAAGTCTC